TAGGGTCTGATAACGAGCTTCAGCCCTTCCCCACTTCCCTTCCTCCCCTCCCACCTCCACCCCCCCCCCCCCCTCCCCCTCTCTGCACACAGTGAGGTTCAGAACTCGATGAAGACCGCGCTGGCGCTGTACGAGTCGTGGCAGCGCCTGCTCGATGCGGGCTCGCGGGCCGACGCCGAGGAGATGCAATGGACAGACAACGAGCTGAAGAACACACTCTCGTCGATCGAGTGGGACCTGCAGGATCTGGAGGAGACCATCCTCATTGTGGAGCGCAACCCAGACCGATTCCAGCTCTCGCAGGCTGAGATCTCCTCGCGCAAGGACTTTGTCGACGAGACCCGGGCCAAGCTCAAGCGGCTTCAGGACCATCAGCTCGATGCGCGAGCTCAGGTGCAGTCGAGTCAACGCGCAGCGCTGATGTCGGTGGGCGGAAGCGCTGGCGGCGCCCGTGGCGGCTCCGGCTCGTCAAAGTATGCCCGCCTCGACGACGCTATCGCCGCTGACAACAACCGCTTCGTCGGCGATCAGATGGCGCAGCGGCAAGAGGTCATGGCCCAGCAGGACCTCGAGCTCGGCACGGTCAGCGACGCTGTCTCGCGCCTCAAGCACATGGGCGAGGCTATCGGCGACGAGCTTGACGCCCAGGCCGACATCCTCCTCGAGTTTGACGCCGACGTCGACCGGGTCGGCTCGCGCCTCGCCACCACCACCGCCAAGCTCAACAAGCTCCTCGCCTCCATCAAGGACAAAAAGTCGATGTGCACCATCGTCTTTCTCATCCTCACGCTCACCGTCCTTCTCGTCCTCATTGTCACAAGCAAGTAGTTCCGTACCTTCCACTTGTCCCCCCGCTCGTCGTCCCCTCATCCCAGAGTTGAACTCTAGCTTGCTACACACTTCTCTTCCCACCGCCACCCCACCGCCTCCGCCATGTTCCCACGCCAGCCAGCCCAGCCGCCCAGCCCGTACGCCACCCCCCTGCTGCCGTACTCGCCATACCACGTGGCATATACTACCACCCAGGCGAGTGTGTCGGACGCCGCCTGGCTCCGCCCGCACGAGTACCTGCGCGCGCTCCCGGGTGCCGACACGGCGTTGCCGGCGTCATCGCCTGCGCTGCCGCTCTCACCGCCGCCGCGGCGCCCGCGGGCGTACTCGCCGTTCTACGGGGCGTATTCGGTGCGGTCGGGCCTGGCTTCGGATGCAGGCGCGTCGCCGCCGTCGCCGTTGGGCATCGGCGAGTGGCGCGGGTCGGTGCCGAGCCGCGACGCGGCGTACCACGCCAAGACCAAGATCATTCCCAAGGTGCCACGAGCGCGATCGGTGCCACTCGTGGCGCCCGCAGCACGCCCCTCGCCGTCATGGACCATGCCACCAGACGAGAAGGCCGAGCTTGCGCCCGCGGCGCAAGCTCAGGCGCTGCTGGCGATCGGCGAGTGGGGCTCGCCGCGGACGCCGTCCGAGTTTCCGCCGTCGCGCCCGAGGGCGCTCGACTACAGCGCATGGGAGGCATATCCGGCGCTCAACACGCCGCCGCCACCGTCTGTGCCCGAGGCGCCGCTGCCGAGCGCGGTCCGCTTCGACTCGCCGTACGTGACCCGGACGCTCTCTCGATCTCCCGGGGTGTAGCTCGGGCAGCTGCTTGCGGGCCAGGCCTTGGACGCCTGGCTCACGTTCTCAAGACGATCAAGACGGTACTTTACATTGCAGGCGGGCCGCAAGCAGCCGGCTACGCTTTGGCTGCCGCCGCCGCTTTGACCGACTGCGTTTCGATCTCGTGGCGCAGCGCCGGCAGGATGATCTCGCGCATGTCGGGGATGGAGGCCCAGCCCTCGCAGTGGATCTCATCGTCGCGGGGATCAAAGACCCTAAACCACCACTTGTCACCCTTGAAAGCATCGCGGCGAATGCCCTTGTCCTTGACCAGCTCGTAGCGGATGGGCCGGTCGAAAACCTTGACGGTGATCATCCTGATCTCGTCCGGCGTTGGCATGGGCATGGCCGCCATGACCTCGTCCGTCTTGTCCGGATCGTAGTCTGCTCTGCTACGGATCTGCGGCGGCTCCCACAGCGGCTCGGCCATGTTGTGCGTGTGGTGCGGTGTGTGCCGTGGCCTTGGGGGAGTCTTGGGCTTGGGCGCCGGGGTTCGAGAAGAGGTAGGGGATTGCCTGTGTGTATGTGTGTGTGTGTGTGTGTGTGGCGTGTGGCGTGTGTGTGTGTGTGTGTGTGTGGTGTGTGTGTGGTGTGTGGTGTGTGGTGGTGTGTGTGTGTGTGTGTGCCTGTGCCTGTGCCTGTGTGTGTGTGTGTGTGTGTGTGTGGCGTGTGGCGTGTGTGTGGGACGGTGGTCGGGGGGTCAGGCGGTCGGTGGTCAGGCGGTGACGAGGCGTGGCCAAAGAGGCCATTTTTCTCTCCAAAGGCCTGCGGGACCGACGCCATGGGAGGGAAGAACTCCAAGGGCAAGAAGAACAAGAAGAATAAGGGCAAGCAGAAAGCGGATGCACCTAACACCTCCGGGCCTGCCGAAGACCTGTCCGACTCGTCTGACGACGACGTCATCTACACAAAGACTGGCGGCAAGGTCTGCGCCCAGGACTTTGACATGCTCAAGGTCATTGGCAAGGGCTCTTTCGGCAAGGTACGCTTCGGCATCGGCCTGTACACACTGCCTGCCCCTCCCCCCCCCCCTCCCCCTTCCTTCTCCCCCTTCCCCCTCCCCTCCCCCTTTTGTCCTACCCATAGCTGAACCGTCCCTCCCTGTGCGTCCCTGCCCTGTGGCTGTCCTCGTAGCCCCTTCTTTCCCATAGCCTCCCTAGCACGCGTGGCATGGCGATCACGCCCTTTTTCGGAGAAAGAGGGCGTGTGAGGGAAGGGGTGGGGTGGGTGGGTCGGTGGGGGGGGAGGGGGGGAGGTGCAGAGTGTATGACAGGAGGCGTGAGGGGCATGGAAAAGGGGAAATGCGAGGTGAGGGGGGAGAGGGGGAATGCGTGGGGAGGGGGGAGAGGGGGAGGGGGGGAGGGGGGAGGGGAGAGAGCAAGACAGGAACTCACAGGAGACTTGCGGTGGTGGTGGTGGTGGTCGGACACTGGCGGGCGGGTGGACTGGCGGGCGGATGGTGGATAGGTGATGCAAGTGCGCAAGAAGGACACCGGGCAGGTGATGGCGCTCAAGATCCTCAAAAAGTCGATGCTCATCGAGCGCAACCAGGTAGAGCACACCATGTCTGAGCGGCAGATCATGCACAAGATCTCGCACCCGTTCATCGTCAACCTGCTGTATGCGTTCCAGACACCGGAGAAGCTGTATCTGGTGATGGAGTATGTCAACGGTGGCGAGCTGTTCTTCCACCTCAAGAACGAGGGCCGGTTCTCGGAGGAGCGCGTCAAGCTGTACGTGGCGGAGCTCTCGTGTGCGCTCGGCCACCTCCACTCGTTTGACATTGTGTACCGCGACCTCAAGCCGGAGAACATCCTGCTCGACCACGAGGGCCACATCAAGATCACAGACTTTGGCCTCTCGAAGCAGTTTGAGTCGCCCAACGAGACGACCGAGACTTTTTGCGGCACGCCCGAATACCTCGCCCCCGAGATCCTGCAGGGCAAGGGCCACGGCAAGGGCGTCGACTGGTGGTCGCTCGGCACGCTCATGTACGAGATGCTCACCGGCCTCCCGCCGTTCTATTCGCAGAACGTCAACGTCATGTACCAGAAGATCCTCGGCGGCACGCTGACGTTCCCAGACATCATTTCCGCCGATGCGCGTGAGGTGCTCGAGGGCATGCTCAACCGCGATCCCGACGCTCGGCTCGGCTCTGGGCCGTCTGGCTTTGAAGACGTCAAGAAGCAGGTCTTCTTTGCAGACCTCGACTGGGATCGCGTCCTCACCCGCGCCTACGAGCCCGAGTTTGTTCCCAAGGTCGTCGGCGACGACGACACCTCGCAAGTCGATCCGGTCTTTACCGCCGAGCCCGTCGTCGACACACCGGTCCAGTCGTCAGACATTGCTGCTGCGTCGGATGCCAACGCCTTTGGCGGCTTCACCTTTGTCGGCGGCGACGACTCGGTGCTCAAGTCGTGACGGCTAACACCAAGCCGAGAGAAATGAAGCAGTAGTACGTTTACAGTGCAGAGCCGAGGTCAGGCGTGGCGCGAACTTGGTGTTGCCATCATTCGGCGCTGGTCTGCGGCACCCGCGCGAGGATCCACTCCATGACGTTGGTGGCGACCTGCTCACCGATACCATCGGGCTCGACAATGAGGCAATGGTACGCGCCCGGGTAGGTAAGGATGGTCTTGTCGGTGGAGCTTGCACGCTCGTGGAGCAAGCGCGAATACTCGATGTCGGTCATGGCGTCGGCTTCGCCGTGCAGGACGAGAAAAGGGGTGGTGATCTCCTCGAGGTGGGCCACGAGGTCCTCAGAAGCGGTCAGCATCTCGTACGCGGTCTTGAGCCGTGGCTTACCGTTGTAGTGCAGCGGGTCGTTGCGGACAAGCTCGCACACCTCGGGGTCGCGGAAGCAATCGGCGATGGGGTCGTCAGGCTGCGGGAGGACGGCCCACTTGGGCGCAATGAACGAGAGACCCTTGAAGAGCGGGACCTGCCACGCCGGCGGCCGCTGCTTGTCCGCGATGCGGACCATGGGCGCAAAGAGGATAGCGCCGTTGAACAGGTCCGGCACCTGCCGGACTAGCCGCAGCACCACGCATCCGCCCATCGACTCGCCGGCGAGGAACATGGCGTGGGACTCTGCCGGGAACCGCTCGCGGACGTGGTGGGCGAGGCAGAGGACGTCGTCGATCAGGTGCTGGAAGGAGGAGACCAGGCCAAGGACGCCCGAAGAGCGGCCAAAGCCGGTGAGGTCCAGCGCAAAGGTGCGGACCCCGTACTTGCCGCACGCCGCCTTGGCCATGGCCGCCATCGAGGGGCCGTTGAAGTGGTCACCTGCGTGCGCGCGCGCGGGAGACGTGCTGTGCGTGAGTGGAGAGGGTGGGGAAAGAGGGGGGGGGGGGAGAGGGGGAGGCGACGCACATACAGTATCCGTGGCAAAGAATGAGGACAACGCCCTCGCGCGGACTCGCCTCGTTGTTGTACTCGACGCATTGCAGGGTGTAGCCGTCGGTGTGTGTCGCCGGTAGGGTGAAGAACGAGGCCGTGACCGGTGCGGCGTCGTCCACTTTGGGGTTCCCAGCCTCCACATCCACGCCCGGAGTCGTGGCCTCAGCCGCCGTGTCCATGCTCGCGGTTGTTGCGGCCATTGCAGCTGTTGCAGACAAGTGTAGCGACGGTGACAAGCCAGGGTTGCGGCTGAAGCCGTAGTTGTCGGGTCCAATCCCGCCGCACGTGCGGTCAGGCCAGGTGTTCTCGGCCGGTGGGCGGTGGGCGGTGGGCGGTGGGCGACGGGCGGTGGGCGGTGGGCGACGGGCGGTGGGCCAACGGCGGGGGGGTTCGGGGGGCCACGGGTTCGGGGGGCCCCCGCTTTTTTTTTTTTTTGG